GCTCATTTTCTTTCTACAGAAACCTATCTAGCTTAGTTTTTAATTGTCTGTTTATTAGTTGTATTTCTCACTTTTCTTAAAACTCATATCATATATCCTGGTGTTTCAGTAAGGTTTTTTTGTTTTTCACAAGGCTGTGGGTCCGATGATCGTACTATGAGTTCAAAAAATCAGTGCCTTCAAATGACATGTTGTGATTATAAACAAACTGAATTGAAATTGATTTGGAAAAATAATTGATTAACAAAATATACATAAAAACAATTTAAGGAGATAGTATTTTTCCTATCTTTGGTTTTTAACAACTACTTCTGGACTGTTAGATTTCTTTTTTTAAAGTAAATTGTGAAATGGATTTCGGTTCAACTGTTATTCTAGGATCAGATAACCTAGTCTGAAGCTTCTGTCTTTTTAGCTCTTTGTCTGATCCTTGAATCCTATAACACACCTACTCCACCCAGGCGCCTTCTCACTTCAAACCACCACACTATCACAGCTTTTCTTGTTCCTTCTCCTTATTCCTCCTCGTCGTCATCAGCCCGCTTCCACCCACCATCACTTCAGACCTGCCAGTTGATGCCTTCGCTTGCTCTCCTACAGAATACTTCAGCTCTGCCCTTGAAGCTGTCTTATTAAATCCAGAGTGATGTCTTGTTGCTCTGGCATCGCTCTCTCTGCTGTTTGTGAAGTGGATGAATTGAGGTTGGGAAGAAGTGCTGAATAATATAAATTTTGGACATTAAGTTTTTAAAGGGTCTGTTAAAATTAGATCATATCTTTCAAACTAAGCCTCCCACAGGCACAGAGGATGGTTCTATATGCTTAGTTGGTAATTAGACAATAGATACAGTCAGGTAACCTGGCAGTAGCCATACTGATATGTGTAGAACTGAGTTAAGTTCTACGTTATCAATCTGGGATGGCTGCTGATCAGTCGGTCCGTGAAAAGGATAGATGTTTAATACAATACTTCGAGTTTATTGGGTGTTGTGCCAGCTAGTAACCACCTTCCATGATACGCTTTCAGCCAATCAACACGATGATCACAACAGAATTTGTTTTCAGCTTCTTGAATGTTTCCGTAACTAGCAGAGTAAGCTGATAATTCAAACTTTTTCGGAATCCTGTTAGAATAAAACACAGGTGTCAAGTAACGAAGTGCAAATACTTCGTTACTGTACTTAAGTACACTTTTTAGGTATCTATACTTTACTCCATTACTTATTTTTCCTCCTACTTTTGACTTCTACTCATTACATTTTCACACAAGTATCTTTACTTTCTATTCCTTACATTTTTTAAACAAACGTTACTCATTACTCTTGGCTTCGGTTTAATGCAGAGGTCACGGATTAGCGGACTGCGATGTTATGAACAACATTAAATCCAAAGATTTTGTCTGAGGTATGGCTGATTTATTTGTTGTAGTCTCTTGTTATTCACACACAATAATAAACAGAGATTAGCCGACGTGGGTTTTAAAACTGCAGAGCTTTGTCTTCA